GTTGAAATGCTTGGCCCGGCCCGCCAATTTTTGGCTGGCCAACGGGCCGGCCCGCGGGCCATGGCCCACTTTGCCATCTCTAGCAATGGTGATACGTTCATCCTCGGGAGTGCCCTGATAATCAAAGAATTGAGAGATCTTAAAGATCCATCCCATAGGATCATGGCCATCAAGGGAGTGGAAAGGTGTTTTGGGTGGTGAGGGAGGGCTGTTTTGGAGGTGAGTCAGGCGGTCCAGGATAATATCCACCTTACGCGAGAGTTCGAGGTGATTGTTGGTGAGGGCGGTTTGTCCCTGGGTAAGGTGAAGGATTGCTTCATCTAAGCGTTTGATGGCGGATTTGCGAATATTATGGTCAGCCATGGCAGGTCGGACCAATTGATAGAACCAGATTTATATGCAAACCTATTTTACTACTAAGAAAAGAATTATGGTCTGAATGCCCTTTCATTTTATTTGAGATGATATTTATAAGGATTACAATTGCCAATCATTGGTTCTCCGCAATTGTCGGCAACAGAAAATGGAATCTACTAGCCAAACGCAAAAGCAAGGATAGGTGGCAGCAATTCTAACAAACTCTTGCAATAACATCTATCAATGACACCTAAGAGAGCAGCCAATTTCTCTAAATGTGATTCATAGTATCTGTTCAAGTCATTCAAATAATTAGGCCTTCTTGTGTGTCTCTTGGGCCGAGCATCATGGGCTGGAGTGGCACTAATGATTGGGTTGCTATCATTACCCTCTGCTGGAAGAAGCAACTTGTCCTCAAGTTGAAAAGCTGATTGTAGGTCATCCCATTTCTCCCAGGTTGTATCCGTCGGGTTCTGGGGGTTCATGAATAGGGGGGTCAAGATCAGAAGTGGTGTGAGACGTGTCGTCAGCAATGAGTAATAGAGCGCTACCCTTACAACGGTGGCCAACACTAAACTTTTCGTCACAGTTGTAACAGAGACCCTTCTCGTGACGAGACGCTAACTCTGCTGGTGTCAAATGCTTGAAAGGAAGTTTGGATGCGAAAGAGGCCATAGTAGTGGATGACGAAGACTGCGTAGTATTGCGAATCGGGCGTGTGCAGTCGTTGAGTTTATCCTCCTGGAACTTGGCCAGGGCAGTTGACTGAGGAAGCGAAATGGGTTGGAGGGCTTGTAGACACCCAATTTCGTCCGGGAACATACAAACAAGGAAATGGACTTATGTTATGAAGGGAAGGAGCTCCCGAAACATGCAAACGACAAGATAGGACTTTAGAAGGCCCAAATAAGCTAATTTTAGAAGACTGGAACGGGCTGCCATACCTGAAAATACTAACAACTATCAGGTAGAAAGTGGTCCTACTACTCATCATAACATATCTAATAGTATAGATCAACATGTGACTGAAAAAACACATAATATGATAACTAGGTCCAAGTCTGGTATATTCAAACCTAGAGTTTTCATTGCTGAAATCGAACCTAGTACTGTTGCTTTAGCTATACAAGATCCAAAATGGTTTAATGCTATGAAAATAGAGTACCTTGCTCTAACGAAGAATCAAACATGGGATTTAGTCCCTCTACCACCACATCGGAAAGCAATAGGATCAAAGTGGATATTCAAATAAAAATTCAAACCTGATGGAACAATATCTAAACATAAAGCTAGACTTGTGGCTAGGGGTTTTAGTCAACAAGAAGGCCTAGATTATACAGAAACTTTTAGTCTGGTTATCAAACTCATAACTATAAGAATAATTCTTTCTATTGCTCTTACAAAAGGATGGCCAATAAGACAAATTGATGTCAATAATGCTTTTCTAAATGGTTCATTAAAAGAGGATATATATATGAAACAACATGAGGGGTTCAATATTCAATATCCTACTCTTGTCTGTAGGCTTAAAAAGGCCATATATGGTCTTAAACAGGCCCCTAGAGCTTGGTTTGCTAAGCTAGCTTCTACTTTGATCACTTTTGGTTTTAAACCAGCAAAGTGTGATAATTCTCTCTGTATTCTTGTTAATGCTGTTCATACAATATATATATATATATATTAGTCTATGTGGATGACATTTTGATCACAGGGAGCTCTCAAGCATTAATACAAAATTTCATTAATAGATTGAATACTCTGTTCCCATTAAAAGATTTGGGAAAGTTACATTATTTTCTGGGATTGCAAGTTCACTATGACACACAGGGAAGTATGCTTCTGACTCAATCAACATATATAAATAATTTGCTAACTAGACTTAATATGTAGGATTCAAAACCAGTAAAGACACCTTTTCGTCCTAGCTGCAGAATGCCAACAGATTCAACAAAAAACTTTGACAATCCTGGTCTATACAAAAGTGTTCTTGGAGCTCTTCAATATGCCACTATGACACGACCCGACATAGCCTACTTTGTAAACAAATTGTGTATGTTCATGCACAAAACCCTGGAATTTCATTGGAGATGTCTAAAAAGATTGTTACGATACTTGAGCATAGGGATGGCAATGGGGCCCCATGAGGGCGGGTAATAGTAAATCCGTCCCCGTCCCGCTAGATAAAAATTGACCCCATACCCACCCCATATTTGCGCGGGTATCCATTAAGTGAGTATTCATGAATTTCTTGAATACCCACGGGTATCCATGAATATTTATAAATTTTTTAAGAAATTAAAAAAATTATATTACAAATAATTTTAAGTTTATATTTAATGTTATTGAAATATTAAAAATAAAAATTCAATGTTAATTTTGAACTTGTATTTAACGTTAATTTTGTTAAAATAATAATAAAAATGTAAGATAATCAATAACTTAAAATACATAAATCTCACAAGTAAGTGAAAGTCTCATCACAATAAGAGTGTATTTTTAGGGTAATGTGATACAAGGATAATTAGGATATTTAAGAAATATTATTAAACGGATACCTGCGGGTATGGATATCATCATACCCGCCCCCGCCCAGTTTATAAACGGGTAAAAAATTATCCGTCCCCATTATCCATGGGTACCTAATTAACCTATCTATTTATTATCCGTAGCGGATTTTACCCACAAATACTTGCGGGTGCGAGTATTTTTGCCATCCCTACTTGAGCGACACAAAAGACCAAGGATTACACTTCTAAAAATCACCCAGTTTGACAATAACTGGGTTTCCAGATTCTAATTGGGCAGCAGACAGAACAGACATGAGATCTACAACAGGGTACTGTGTGTATTTGGAAAAAAATCTAGTATCCTGGATAGCTAAGAAGCAACGCATAGTTTCAAGATCAAGTACAGAAGCAAAATTTAGGAGCTTGGCTGCCACAGTAGCTAAAATTATGTGGATTCAGTCTTTATTA